TGGCTGGGCTGGTGGCTTCAATTTGCGACTGAACCTAGCCAAGGTTCAGAACGAGGCTTGTTTCGGCCAAAGTTTAAGGCGCTTATAAGCAACGCACTGAGATGTATGCCCATCTGGGTACAGCACACACGCATCGCATACTGCGCTGGAATACTCCAGCCACACCGATGCTTGACCCTTCTAGGTGTACGAGGAGCGACCAGTGCATAGGGCTCACCCGGTCTATGTATTCGCAATTATTTGGATAACATCCAATTTTGAGCCGTTCAAACTTCCAGTGTCACTGCAATGGCATGTCATCAAATCACCACTGGCGATTGTAAGCTCATCTGGCTCTGTGGAGTGGGAGGTCCGAACATAGTGAAAGCTTCCAGAGTCTGACGCCAAATGCCCGTGTCCCAGTCGTTGTGCATCAGAGTTTCAAGATATACAGCAGGTTCTGGCTGCATGGGTAATTGACTTGGTGTCCAGTGGGGCTGTGAGTCGAAAATGATCGAAGGGGGCGGGCCCTGCCATGAGACAGGGGGTCGAGGGGGACCATAAGCCTCGCTCGGATGTTGCACCACATGACTGATACTACACTGGCGCTGCGCCTCACTTTTGCTTTTCTCTAGCCATGCCACCATGCTTATCACACGGCAGTTCGACCAGATATCATCACCAAGAGAGAGAGAAGCAATCTTTCGCATAGTGGCCAGAACGTCCTCGTGGACGCGCCGACTGTCTATCTCTGGTGTGGGATGGTTGTAGTTTCCAAATAGCAGGCTTACCTTGGCAAGAACCAGCATCACATACCAAAGGGTATAATATGAGGAAGCCGGCAGGTGCACCGCCACGTCCGCTGGCACCTGGAGGTACGTGGCAAGAACCCGGTGAGCGGATGCCGTAAGATGCTGCAGCCGATTAATCTCCCGAAGTCGAAAGACGTCTCTGCGGCGCTGCACTGCTTGACCCAAGGTCAAGGTAGTGAGTGCGGTGAGCTCCAGACGAAGGGCCCCTTGTAATCAGATGGTTAGATTTCCCGAGATATGGGCATGTTTCTGGAGGTGCCAGCAACTCACAATTGTCACACGAGGCGAGGCGTGATAGCTGGTCCTCGGTCTGTCTCTCTTGCCGCTCGATGGATTCTACAATCTGCTCCCATGACGCATCCCGAGGGTGGTAGGAGCAGAGGCATACGTCTTCGTCGAAGACACACTGCGTACGTCGCAAGAAATTGTTGGAGAGGATATAGTCCCCCAGGAGGACATCGCTGGGGTATTCGGGTTTCCGAGCAAGATCCTCCACACACTGCGCAATCCATCTGGTGTGTCTCATCGTCACCTGTCGGCGAAATAAAGTCGAGCTTCGGGGTGATTGTTAGTCGGGATGTCCAGCGTTGAAGAAAACGACTGAAGTCACAGGCAACACTCACGTGCAACACAGGTGGTAACAGCCTAGCAGAGCCCTCTGCTCCGTGGGATTCGAATGATGGCGTTGGTTGTCCGCGGGCTCTGGAGGGATAGGCTGCATCCGGATGTTCTCGTCCTTGTCGATGCCCAAATCGACGACCACCATGTGAGCCATTTCAAGTAGCATGTACTTATGGATATGCGGGGTCCGCCAGTGATAATGAAACCATGCGCAATGAACGAGGAGCCCCAAGAGGAGATCGAGATTGCGCTCGCCCTTAGCGACTAGACGAGTGGCCGCCGTTTCGCGAACGAGAGCCTCCAGTTTGTGTTGCAGGAGGGGTTTGTGTTCCATACACACGGTGACGATGCACAGCAGGAGGAAAGGCGAGCGCTGGCGGAGGACCTCGATCTCCATGTCGGAGGACACCATGACGAAGGGGAACTGGGCCATTTTCTGGGTCCTGAACTTGTCCATAAGCTCATCAGCCTCGCGTAGGGTGACCAACCCGCCGAAAACGGGATCCCCCGATGCCTCATCGCTCGGTCGAGAGCTTTCCCGGCGGTGGTAGAGTCGCGGTGAGTCTGGTGGGTGCGTGGACGGAGTTGCACTGGAGAGACTGCCGTGGTGGGACGACGATTCCCCTTGCTAGGTACGGTTAGAGCACGCCTTGTTGGAACCACAGTAGCAAGATGATTGGAGGGGAAGAGAGAAATTGCATACCTTCTGGCCCAGTTGCGCTGCCAGATTATCAATTTGCTCCTGAAGGGCATCAATGCGGGTCTTCCTGTGGTGGCGGAGGAAAGATCAATCAGCCAATGGTTGGTAGCCGGGAATATATGCAGTAGTAAGTAGTAAGTAGTATGTGATAGTGATGATAAGGCTGGGGTTGTAGATCATGCTGGATGCAGGCTGATCGGGCAGTTTGTGCAATCAACGTAAGAAAAAAGAAATTAATTAAATAAATAAACGAAGAAAAGAAAAAAGAAAAAAAAAAAAAAAAAAAAAAAAAGGAAACAAAAAAAGAGCAAAAATGTAGAATGAAAGGCGAAAAAGCAGAGCAGAGCAGCCAAATGCACACTAACTACTACCACCGTTATACACTTCTTTACTAAGTAGTTAAGTACTCACCTTGGACGGGTGACATGAGGGGACTCAGGCAGCGAACATGGCTGGCCCAAACGGGTGCAGCGGACGCACGTGCCCGTGGGGGGAACAGGCACGCAGCGGACCTTCAATCGGACACATCGGACGCAGGCATGGCGTCGCGGTGGCTGCTTGCGATTCATTTGCTCCCGCAGCAAATTGTGGGTTCGTCACCGTCAGAGCCAGGCACGATGCAAAGCACGTTGGGGAAAAGGGAGGGAGGGGTTGGACGTGGCAAGAATGGGGGGAAGGAGAAAGTGGGAAGATGCAGGGGGGAGAGAGAATTGTGGTTGTCTGGCTTGCTCGCGTCGAGTAGTAAGTTACTTAGTACTAATTAGTGCTGACGGGATTATTCTTCCTAAAGGAAAACAAGAAAGAGGAAAGAGGGAAAGTCACATGAGACGGGCCCGCGCTTCCCTTTCCTCTCTACTAAGTAACTTACTACTTTACTTCCCCTTCTTCTTCTCCCCATCTCTATACATTCACATCATTCTCTCTGTCTCTCCCCCATTGCCATTGTTCTGGGTATATTCTGTCACCTTCTTATTTCCAACTCCATCTCATCTCACCCCTTACCGATTCCACAACAGTAGTACCTCTTTGCGTTACAGGGTCCCCGCCAAGGGCCACCAATCCAGAGGCTGCTCTAAGCGGGAGGCTGCACTAGAACCTCCCCCTAGAGATGCGGCATCGGTGCGACCGAGTCGGAGTCGGAGCAGGAATCGGTCGCACTGACTACTATTTGAGCACTAGACAAATAACGGTCCAGCTCGTCTAGCAAAACGACAATTCGGATCAACTTCGCTCACAGATTCTCTTATCAATCTCTGCTTTGTTAGAAACGAATCAATTTGTTCAACCAGCGATCGGCTTTTTCTGGTCTAGCCGTCCGGAGAACCCAGACGAACTAGTGGATCACCGATCGCTGTCACGCTCCACTCTTCCACTCCATGGCTCCAGCTGTCGAACATCCATACTGTAATGACAATTGTTCGGGTCATGTGCTGTAGCTCTAATCTTATTTGACTTGTCACACCAGCCATTTAGACCCTCTTATCTGACAACTCTTCACGTTACGGGCGCATACTGGTAGCACGATCAGCTGTTCAAGAGTCACGACGGGATACTGCTGTGTCCGGTCGGGTCTTATGCGTGAAGAGCGACGTGGAACATCTAAACATAGATATGAACCTTACATTTGCATTGACGAGCCCACTAACCATCCTTGGATTGTTGTTCCACCCATCTGTCCCTTCGATTCAAGACCTTCACCACCTATCCATGGGTGTCATGAGCACAATCCCGGAATATCCCGTTGTGATAAGGTTCTTACCCCGTAGCAGAGTGGACTGACTCTTCATGGTTTTACTTTGGAGAAACAGCTTATCCTGCCTGATTCTGTGGGTACACAAACTAAACTCGTCCCTCCCTTGATCAGACTTGTTCTCCCACCTCCCCTAGAATCGCATTCCTCGGCAACATTTATATGAGCACTAACCTTAGCCTAGTGCATCACCAGAGTGGTTCTATATAATGTCCCGTACAGTTTCTTTTAGGAGATACCCTCCAACACCTTGATTCGTCCCATCGTAGATTCTTGAGCGACCTTCAAATCACTCAATCATTACCCACTGAGCCCTTACTCCGACAATACCTATACACAAGGCCAAATCATACAGCATAAATTGGTTGATGGTACGCATACGACATGGATGATCCTACTATCTCTCGCCACCACATCATTGAACAGCATTTATACGAGCAGGTGGGTACAAGAATCCAAAGACAATGATTTACGACACCATCGTACATACGGTGAGGAGAAAGCGATCTATCACAGAAACATCGAATAAGAGCATGAATGAATGGACAGTCAAGAAGTACGGGGGGGAACAGAATCCCTTTTCTCTTCCCACAACTTTCGGGACGACACTGGTCGCCTGAGGAACAGCCTGACACCCAGGTAACTTCCCGAGACAGCTCATTAAACAAAATTCCACCAAGTCTGGGGTGAGCCTTGGCTTGGATGACGTTCAGGGATGGCGTGCAGCTAGGAGAGACTGTGATGGCCATGGCTGCTCTACCTGTGGAACACCAGGCAGTGCTCTGGGCGCTCGCTGATCGTATGACGCATCGTTTCGGTCTGTGCCCGACCTGTAGAGGCGCCGACGTAATCGCCAAACAGGCCAAACGCAGTATGTTTCATTCATTTCATTGCTAATCGGACGGCCTACCCTATCCACCTTACTGTAGACCATTAAGGTCAGCCAGTCTTGCTCGCACCCACTAGTAAACAGAAAGCCTCGAATGTCTCAAAACCTTCTCGTTTCAGCTATTACACAATGGCACAGCTCACGATCGAAAGGCGAAAGCAATCTCCATACCGCAGACTTTGTCCGGGGCACGATGAAACACAGAAGGTTCTGCTAACGGAAACCTTTTCCCTCTGAACCGGGGTCAATATGTCCAGTGATAACACTCTGAAGTCGGTCAAGGGTGGCGAGAGTCATCACCAGTGGGTATCCCGTCCGGTATGGGCTGCCAAAGGGCTAAAGGCTCCTTCAATGTTTTTGACAGCCGCCTTACGTTGGCATCCTCATCATGCCATAGCGGGCATATGCCATCCGAACATTCCCCGGGTCAAAGTCCTGTGCTTACGACGCCCGCAGGTCTTCCAGACAGCAGCACTGTGGGCCAAGCCACAACAACGTCGGCGGGGAGAGAAGATGAAACAGTGGTGGCTTTACCACCGGGCATGTGGTCCGTTTGTCGCGAGATGCTACCGCAACACGACTGGTCTCCTGGCGGAGTGGAATCATGTCTGGGCTAGACCCAGTGGATCTGGGTCCCAGATCAAAAGGCCAGGCTTCGGTCGTCGCCGTTGATGCGGGGGGGGGGAATTAAGCGCGCGATGAAAGCATCTAGGCAAGGCAAAGGAGCCTATCCACACCGGACATATGCTTATTCCGTCTCCCGTCACGTGCACGTGTCCCGGTCGTGAGTCGATTCCAAACACGGTTTAGCTTGTCTCGTAATCTGTGCTTTCGCTCAACATGGCACCCGCAGCATTCAGGAACGTCGTGGACGCATCTGTGAGATTCACTGAACTATCTATACACGTCACCGGCCACTCGAAGATCTATTCCAGAATGCAAGCATCATCCGCTCTACCCTGCATGAGGTCGAAACGGAGGAACTATTCATCAGATGCAGTAGCATTGGAAACCATGGTATGATGCAGGCACGCTGCGGATAGCTTCGCGTTCACGTGGCATCACGGGTCAAGAGCATAGAAGCATTCCTCATCTTTCTTGTCCGGTGTGTGTGGGTGAGGATTTTACCAATCATCACATATTATGCAGCAGCTGGTCAGAGGAAGCCTCAGTAGAATCCTTCTTGTGCGCAATCACCAGATTCGGCCGACCGGCCAGCCGTTCAAAGCTGTCCTTGAAATGATATGCGATGGTCACCAGCCTTGGTACCTAAATAGTATCAACACCCCAGTCCGTGTTATTCCCCATATCCTGCATCTCAAATCTTTCGGGGGTGTTGTGTGACGACCAGCTGGCATAACGGTTCTCAGGGGGTTATAAGACGAAGGGTGAACGAGGAGGGTCGAGGTGTCGTTCTTGTATCACCTAAATTCTCATAAGGATCGGACTGTCGAGGAAGAGTAACTGTCAGTGGTCACTGGCATTAATCTCAGGAGGTATAGAGTTCCAGCGTCCTTCACTTAGTATGGACTGTATGCCCTTCATATGGGGGTGTAGTCTGTGAGATGATTGCACATCTTGACTGTTGAGCCAATGTTTGCCTGGAAGGCTGAATGCATGGGAGCTTGAATGCGTCGAAGAAAGGAAAATGTGTATGAAAGCTTTTCCCCCCAGAAGATGTTGCGGCTTAATGTTTCCGCCCGTGCGGGTATCTGGAGTGGCGCGGATCGGCGAGAAGATCTACACAATAGGACCTCATCCACTCGACGTGATTGATCATGCTCCCGCTGGCAAAGAACATCTGCTTGTAGGACACGATTCAGACAAACGGAAGAACTCTTGAACAAAGCATGATCGTCTGTTTTCACGGTTTACACGGGATGATCTCCCGCTCTGAGACGCGATCTGCACCTGTCCCGAGTGATCTGCCGTGTCGGTTATAGGATGTTGTCGGCAAGCCATCGTCTGATATGAGGCAGATTCCTTCCATTTACAGTATCGAGTGCAGGCAATATCTACATTATATCAAGGCAGGAGTATTAGTCTTACGATACTATTAGTGCTTTTGCTACGTATAAGTGATTTGGTTATCTGCTGCATTCAATCAATTTTGGTTGACGTTCATGATAGTTCGAGGTAGCCGCACCGATATATATATCTTCTCGCCTGTGCTACTATCCATCATTCTACCACCAGTTTTCCCCCAAGCAAAGCCTTACCTGACTTTGAGGAGAATATTGAAAAGTAAATAACATAGAGCTCTTGATGATATGGTGAATATATATATTTACATGAGACGATACTGGTGTTTCTAAAAGTTGGAGAGTTGGGCATAGACTCTCTATGCCCTGCGAGATCATTGCTAGCGACGTAAGAAAGTGAAGTACTGGTCAGCTAGAAAACAACAGACGTCCAATGCATATAACCCACTGTTAACATAGTTTACTCAATCTCTGTACTACTATGTGATCATGTGCACTTATGAGTTTATCCAATGTAGGACTGCACATTATGACCCGACAAACCAAAGCTTCTTGGTGGGCGCTATCATGAGAAGGATCTATGGCGTAATGAGTTGTCCCATAGCAAGAAATCACAAAAGGTATTTTCCCTATATTTTAGGTACACTAACTGAATGGAAGAACGCCTATCTTGGAAACCCATACATAACGACCTGCGACGAATTTCTAAGGCTAGAATGCAACTACTTCTCCTACAGGTAATGTCGAAGATATCCCTACAATGGAACCATCTTCTAAGAGCACCTCCGAAATTGTGTCTGTCTTCGATGCAAGTTGTGATATCCAGAGAAACTCGTGTGCTCAACGGTAACAGGAAGGTCAGCCGAGAAACAAGTTGCACTTGAAAAATAAGACAGATTGCACCATATCAAATGTCATATTCCCAACAGAAGTCTCAAAGGCAGCAAGCCCCCAGGGGGTTGAGGTGCTAACATAGAACAATCTAAGACAGCAGGAGAGAGATAATTGCGCAAGGATACGATGAACTCCTGAAAAGGAAGGATGCAGATAAGAAAATGTTGGGAGTGAATCATGACCCATCAGATGGAGCATGGAGATATTACCTCAATGCGATCCCATGATTCATTCGGTCTCGGGATAATCACGCAAGACGATGTCCACGTTTATTGGAAGGCGGAGGATGTTAGTGGAGGAGACATTAATTAACCAGGCTGGTGGATGTTAAACTGAACTAGGAATAAGCATAGATTATATGATAGATTAAGGAGGTAAAATTCCGGGTCGGATCCGGGAGTTCAGGCAGAGAGGCAATCCCGATGTTGACTTGCCATGCCGAATGTTTCGTTGTTCCTGCTTGTTTGGCTGGCGACTCGGCCCGGTCAGCAGAGGAGATTGATTCATCATCAGTGATTTCTCAGCAACAAGTCAATATCGACATCATCTTCGTGAATTGGAATTAATCAATCATTAATCAAATAAGAATTAAAACCAAAATTAACCGGTTGTCGGACAAGAGCCGGTGGAATATCCGAGCAAACCGAGCAAAAGCAACAAGAAAGTCACGGGCGGGGAAATGTCTGATTGGGGGAAAAAAGATAAAAGGGAAAGTTGAATGCGGGAAAAGCAATGATCTGCCGTCTTGGCAGCCTTGGCGCCCCATGTCCCGCTCGGCGGACCAATCACCACCGCACCTGCCCTGAATGCCGCGTGTTAGTGCAAGGGCTTAGGGCTACTCGGAGGAGCCCGTCGCAGCAGTGGAGGGGATACCAAGGTGGGAAACAACAAGAGAGGACCGTAGAACATCGCGATCATCCCGAACATAGCTACACTGAGCATAGCACCATCACACCGGCCGGCTCAGAGGTCGAACACCCACCCAACACTCTACCGTTTCTGCAACGTCCGGGCGAACGGGTCCCCATGTGTCTCTCAGACCGCGTCCGTATCAGGTTGGACCTCCTCCAAAGTCGCGACGAAACAATATACGAGGCTGAAAGAGACAACCCGCTAGTCAGTAGATTGCTGGTTGAGCCGCGTCATACTGTCCCGGTCAAGTCCCAAAGGAGAGGTCCGTCCCCTGTCACTCCCCCGCCACGATGAACTAGTAGTCTAATTCTTACAAAGTGTATCAGGGGACTCAGCCATGGGAACAAAGCTCGATGCAATCGGACTTAATTAGTCTCCACATCGAGCTGGGCGTGAAACTGATGGACACTCCGCTATCTACTCGAAACCGTATCTAATTAAGCACTCGCGGCTCCACTTCTTCTCTGGGCTTCCTCCGTGCCGCTCGGACAGCTCACTGGACGCTCCCAGTGGAGTCGTTTCACAGGATCCCCTCAACGCTGACGATCGCATTCCCAACTCATCCACCAGCTCTCTTGAGCACACCTGGGCAGTGAGGTGATCGGCGGTGGCCTCACAACATTGCCGTCGCCGGGACCCAGATGTTTATTCTTCTTCCCTGTCGACTCAATGACCCACACCACATCCACCGTCATAACACCGATATTGGTCGAGATTGCGTTGGAGTAGCAGAGGGAGTCTCCGGCATACCCACTGGCTCCGTAAACCTCCATCAGGAGAAGTGTTCCAAACTTCCATGAGCCATGGCATCGAAGGACCAACAGCGCTCTATATAAGGGACGAGCCCGTCGACCGTCTCAGATCCTTTCCTCTCTGGCTTAACACACACAGCTTTGTCATTCTTTCTCTTGTTCTCTCTTTTGTTCCTAATTGTACTTACTCTTTGTCACTCTTTATACTTGCAAAACTTCCAGGATGAAGTACGCTGCTGCTCTTACGGCTGTTGCCGCCCTCGCTGCCCGCGCCGCTGCTGTCGGTGTCTCCGGCACTCCCGAGGGTTTCGCTTCCTCCGCCACTGGTGGTGGTGATGCCACTGCCGTCTACCCTACCACCACCGATGAGCTGGTCTCTTACCTCGGTGATGACGAGGCCCGTGTCATTGTCCTGTCCAAGACGTGAGTTCCGAATCCAACGCAGAGAACGAATCGATCCCCGGCTGACCAGTGTCGGAATTTGCTAGTTTCGACTTCACTGACACCGAGGGTACCACCACCACCACCGGCTGTGCTCCCTGGGGTACTGCCTCCGGTTGCCAGCTGGCCATCAACAAGGACGACTGGTGCACCAACTACGAGCCCGATGCTCCCACCACCACTGTTACCTAGTAAGTTGCCCCCTGAGGTCTACTCGACTATGAGAGAAGCAGAGATGTTAACAAAAGGATAGCAACACTGCTGGTGAACTCGGTATCACCGTCAACTCCAACAAGTCCCTGATCGGTGAGGGTACCAGCGGTGTCATCAAGGGCCGTGGTCTCCGCATGGTCAGCGGTGTCTCCAACATCATCATCCAGTACGCATCGTCCAGGACTTTTATCCATTTGTCGCATCGCAAACTAACAATCGGATCCCCACAGGAACATTGCTGTCACCGACATCAACCCCGAGTACGTCTGGGGTGGTGACGCCATCACTCTCGATGACGCTGACTTGGTCTGGATTGACCACGTTACCGTATGTCTTATCCCTTCCAGAACTTCCTCCTTTTGCAAACTAACGAATGATTCAGACTGCCCGCATCGGTCGCCAGCACTACGTCCTCGGTACCGAGGCCGACAACCGTGTCTCCATCACCAACAACTACATCGACGGCGAGTCTGACTAC